TTCTTAATAGAGATGTTTATTCGTTGGGTCATATAGGACCGAATGGTACTTATGATGGTTTGACGGCCTTTGTGAGCGACAGAAGAATAGACATTACCATGAATACAAGATATATATACGAATGGTGGAAAATCAAATATGTCTCTCATTGTCAGTAGTTTTCAAGGAAATAATTATAAAAATAGTTTATATTATTTTTTTAAGAAGAATCCTCAAATATCCTTCTTCAATAATTCTTTAAAAATCTAACTAAATTATAAACTTCATACATTAAATAGATTAATATCCATACAGCAATTAAATATATGTGATAATAATATATACATATATGTGTGATATACAGGATATTTCCGAGTTAAATGGCAAAACTTAAAATATGAATTCAGGACATCAAAACAAACAAAAATTTTATCTGAAAGTTTGTTCGCAAACGCAAAAAATGAAGTGATATTGACTTTTAAAATTATAATTATAAAATTATAAAAGTGGCTATGAGACAACAATCAAAATGAATTGAGGAAAAACAGGCAAAAAACCACAGCGCTAGGATAATAATAGCGAAAATTAAAAGAAAATAAATTTTAATATATAATAAGTCAACGCATATAACTTATAAAAATAATCAGATGACAATTAATTAAGACGACAAATGTTGTTTTAATTACATTTGTCGTTTTAATTAATTGTCATCTGATTATTTTTATAAGTTATATGCGTTGACTTATTATATATTAAAATTTATTTTCTTTTAATTTTCGCTATTATTATCCTAGCGCTGTGGTTTTTTGCCTGTTTTTCCTCAATTCATTTTAAAATTATAGAACTATAGACATAAATAATATCAAAATAATTTAGGTTTATTCTCTTTATTGCTTTACAGTAATCAATTTAATTTAATTATTAAATATTTTGTTCAAAATGATGACCTCCAGCCCGGAAACAAGCATTACATTTATCAATAAAAGAGCTAGTAGCTGACTGACATTGTGCGTCTGAAATTTCTTTGCATTCTTGTACTGTTCTCCGTTTTAATGATATGGCCGAAGTTCCGGACAGTGGTTTAATGTTAATTTTCCCGGAAAATGGCTCGGTTGTGTTGGACCTGTGGCTTGGTCTCCGCGTTCACTGGATTTAATTACACATTAAATTTTTTTAAATGGGGTGCTCTAAAGCAAAAAGTACATGAAGTGCGTGTTAATAATTTTAAAACGGAGAATAATATAAGCGTGCAAAGAAATTTCAGAATGCACAATGTCAGTCAGCCACTTGCTGTCTTATTGATAAGTGTAATGCTTATCTCCAGGCTGGAGGTCATTATTTTGAACAAAATATGTACTTAATAATTAAATTAAATTGATTGCTATAAAGCAATAAAGAGGATAAACCTAAATTATTTCGACATTATTTACTCCAATAGTTCTATAACTTTAAAAGTCAATATCTATTCAACTAAGCGTTTACGAGCAAACTTCCAGATTAAATTTTTCTATGTTTTGAGATTCTGAATTCATATTTTAAGTTTTGCCATTTAATCCGGAAGCATCCTGTATAATAATTTTTGTTTAACAATAAATGTTTGTTGAAACTTATCTCTTATTGCGTTGTTTATTATAACTCTTTTCACAGGATAATAAAAACGAAATATAAATAATAAATATAAATAATAAATAGCTAATAATAAAGAGAAAGAGAAAGAGAAGGAACAGAGAAAAAGAGGAACTTCTTCTTTTACGTATTGCATAGTAAATAAAACCTGCATAGACGAGATATAAAAGTATACTAGTATTTTATTTATTTTCAGATACCTATATCCCTATATGAGATCAGACATTTGCGTGATAGCGCAATCCAAAAAACAGATCCCCGAATACATCAAGTTAATAACTTTTCTGTCATGGGAAGTAATGTTAGGAGTACTCGGGATATGTTTGTTAACGTACATAGTTTTTGTGAAAAGCGTGGGATATGTAAAGGCTGGACCAGAGGTGATAAGACTCATAATCTCTTTAGGATTTTTACATTTGCCTGAAATGAATTCCGCAAGGATCTTCATATGTATGGCGTTAATTTTGGTGCTTTATCTAAATGCTCTCTTCCAAAGTCACTTGTCATCTTTGCTCACTGTGCCGGTATATAATCGCGACATCGACAGTGTACAAAGTCTCAAGGTAATGAAAAAGTCTCATTTTCTTGTTTTTCCTCCTTAGATTTATATCTCAATTCTCGCTAAATTAGTAATAAATTTTGTATGTATAGTGTGTCCACAATCTTATTTAAATAAATGTGCCAAATTAATTTAGAAGCAATTAACGAAATGTAAAAATTGTTCTTAAGTTACTTTATTTAGAAACTGAAGTCTTATATATCTATGTGGTATAATTAGTGAAGAAAAGGTTTTAAAGACAATTTTATTCTTTAAATGATATATTTTCTATCTTTGATATGATAGTAATTGTTGACATGAGTTCAGCAAGCTACTAATTAAAGATTATTTAAAATTATGAAAGATTGTAAATTAATGAAATTCTTTAAAAAAACCAAACATAGATGCTATTAAATTAGAGTTATTATATCAAATTACACATATTCATAAATATAAAAAGATATTTATTGAAATTTAATGAGAAAGACATTCAATTTACAATCTTCCATAACTTTTAATAACTTTTTATAAAGTTATTAGATATTTTAAGCGCTATCACATTAAAAACAAAAAAAATAATGCTCAAAAAGGGTTGAATTGATTTTTAAATCTCTTTTATTTTAACATCTTAAAAAAAATATTCAGTAATGTTATCATATCATCTCCGCAATTTTTATATGAACTTGTAATATTCCGTATCTTTAATTGCTTATAAAATAATATGTTTAGTTAAATCAGACACAATGCATAATATGCAACAAATAAAATTCTTTTATAAACTTTATAAAATACAAATGTTTTTATAAATTTTACAAATACATTCTCTCATCATTTAGGATCAACCGCTTTATACTATACTTAAATTACAAAATTTATTTTTAAGTAAAGCTGCTATATTTGAATTAACAATCACAAATTTTTCATTAAAAATTTTTTAATAAAATAGTATGAATTTAATGATATTTTGATATTAAGTAACACATCTTAGTTTAGTTGGTTTTTTCTTAGGTTGCCGGTTATACTTTATATGGACCGAAGTTTTTGATGAATCACGATCTCGTACTTCCATTCCGCTACAAAAGTGTCACGTATAAAGATTGCGTGGAACATGTCAAAAATTCATCGACTGCCGCATGTATCGGTGACTGCTACCACTTGGATTATACGAACAAGGATAATGATCTTGTTAGATCAAAAATGCTGCATCAAATGTTTCGATCGTATATCACTCGTGAGAATTAGCCACTCTACAATCGCGTAAACGATATTATGCATCGGATGATACAGGCTGGATTGATTAGAAAAAGTGAAGATGAGATTCTCTGGCAAGTAAAACGCGAGGAAGAGAGAAAAAACGTTTCAACGAAAAAAAGCTTCCATGTAATAACGCTAAAGCAGCTTGCATTCAGTTTTTATTTTCTTGGATTTGGATACGCTTGTGCTATCATAGTCTTTGTGTTGGAGTTGGCAATCGGTGGTTCTATTCCCGTATGTCAAAACAGAAAAGTGGCCGTGAAGAAAGAAAAAAAGAATGCAAGAAAGAAAAGTGAATTTAAAACGGACAGTAAACTTTCAATATTGGCATTAAAAACCGACTTTGAATTCAAAAGAAAGCTTAGAATTAAAAGATTATATGAACGCAAGACATACTCAAAAGAAGAAACAGTGCATTTTTAAATCATGCACATTGACAGAGAACGAAGATCAAGAACGATCGTATCAAAATATTAATTTGTATACGTATCAAAATATTAATTTGTACACTTTTGAGTTTAATCATGAATTCCTCATAGAGGAAATCATCAAGGGAATTAATAGAATATTTATGACAAAGCGACAGGTTAGACTGAATCGTTTAAATCAGAAATACAGAAAGAGAAGTAAACCAGAGGCTTGATATTTGTTTTTTATATTTTGTTTTTCATATTCGATGTCTTGGATGTATTGATATTTCGGAGTTATTTCGATTACACGTTAAAGTAAATTGTTAAAATACAAAATAAAAAAAAAGAAAGAATAAAGAAGTGAAAAGAATGTATGGAAGGATGAGCAAAATATATCGATGATGAAAAAAGCATTGTTGTTTAGTCAATATTTTATGTTTGATTAATTCTTTTATCTTAGTTTATTTACTTAGTAATAAGCAAAAATGTCCCGGCGCATGGGAAGCGGTTCTGTATATTATAGCTTACCTATAAATCGTAATCCAGAGCTCTTGATCACTGCACACATTTATAACGAAAGGATTATATTTACAGAAACAAAATAAAATTTGTCATAATAACTGTGCGGTTCAATTTATTATACTACGACTTTATTAAATTATTAACAATTCAAGTAAAACAATTTTGATTAAAATGTTGTTTTGCACGTATAATGCTAATACATTGTCCGAAATTTCGAAAACTTTAATTATTTTATGATGACAGAAAAGACAGAATAAGCGAAGGAAGAACTATTCAAAAAATATTCGAATTTATTAAATATTTGAATAAATATCGAAACTTAAAAACCGAAAAAACTTAAATCGGATTAAATAAATTTTATTTTTAAATTATTTTATATTAATCAATATTTATACTAATTATTATTTTATAATAATTAATATCCATTAATTATTATTTTATAATAATTTATCTACTTAATAGATTATCACATTATTACAGTATATAAAAGCTTTCTCACTAAAAAGTCATTTTCAATTTTAGAGAAATATAATAATATTGATTTAAATATTATTATAATTAATATTAAACAATATTATGACGATTAATTTAAAGAGCATAAGATTTCTGATGTTTTTATATCTCATTTTTTTAAGACTACATTTTTTTTATTTTCTTAAGTTTTGTTTTCTCTTCGCTGCCTTTTCGTCTTTCGGAAGGAAATCGCGAACAAAAGAATCCCGCACACGATCATACGTCAAGAGCATCAGTTTCTTCGTAAAAAATTACGTAAATATATACATAATAATGTGATAATTATGTATATATTTGATTGAGTCATGATGCAACTAGTAAACTTTCCAAACATGTATTGTACATATGTAATGTATGTGTGTGTGTGTGTGTGTGAGTGTGTGCGTGCGTGTGTGTGTGTGTGTGTGCGCGTGAGCGCGTGTGTGTGTGCGCGCGCGCGCGCGCGCGCATGAGTATATGGATATATGCACTTGTGTCTGTGGGATTCTTCGGTTGCTGGGTGATCGAACGTTAAAGCGGAGTTCGAAGGATTACTGATTTCCGGACAAGCGCTTAGGGAGTTACCCGCAGTTACCCGCAATACGTACGCAGGACGGTTAAATTGCACGCGTTGTCACAGCATTCCTCGACGATGCCTTTTTTTTGGTGTTTCCTTTTTTGGGTTTCCCTTCGATAGCGCCTGCCGGCGAACGGTTCATTCAATTCCCGTGCGCTTGCTTGCAGGAATAACTCGCAATAAGACGGATAATCGGGCTTTTCTATTTCTGAAAAATAGTGCAAACTTTTGTAACAGTGTGTACAAATAATATAAAAAGATTGTATCGTTTTAACACATTCTTTATCTATATGCCTCATCGGTATAATTGAACAATTTTTACCGGCATTTTATTATTGTTTATTCATTACAATCCGCTTCTTATTTTTCTTATTTAAAAATTTACGAAAGTTTTGAGATTTTCCAGAAAGCTCTTTCTTGTCACATGCCATCTTTAAGATCATATCTTGCGCATATACGTACGTAATCAAAATTGATACCCTTAGCTGTAGTAGGTATTCGCTTCTTGCCGGTTCGGAAAATACTCAAGATAGAATATTATTGTTTGAAAATCTCAAAACTTTCAAACGATAATAAGTTAAAAAAGATACACATTAACATACACAAATACAATTCATTATAATTTATAAAGATAAATTATTTTTAAATATGTTAAATGAATTATAAACATTATCAGGAAAAAATCAACTTTAATTATTAAAGTTAAACATCTAATTTGAGCAATGAAAATGTCTTAAATGACAATCGCCCTAGTTTTGATTGGCAAATTTTGTTTTAAAAAAAAGACAGAGTATCTTTATATTTGCGTGTTATTTGCGTCATATAAGGTATATGTATATTATTTAATATAAATGACTAGAAAGTGCTTTCCATGATTGTCAATAAATGGTATATCTAGGTTTTAGTATCAGATTATATGGATTTATTTGACCGATTAAGCCCACTGATAAATCGATTTATGCATCCGAAAAAGATTTATGCAAATTTCTGCTGTAAATTTTTATATTTATTTTCTTTGAAAAATTGAATCAGCGAATAAAGATACTCCTATAATGCTTCTACTTTTTATTGGCATATTTAAAAGTGTGACGATTATAGAGAGTGCCTTTTTCGACTTAGATGATCCCACTCGGAAATACGTAATACGAGCTTACAAGCATTATTTATCAGTGACAAAGTGGTGATTGGTTAATTGCAGGCACAGAGATTGATCATCGCTGCGCTTAATGTCTTTCATATAATACTGTGCTTAAGGAGCTATTAAGAAATTGATGGGTTTAAAGCAAAAATTCTCTCATAATTGGAAGCAACCCATAGTCCGTAACGTGCACTTTAAATGTGAAGTTGTATTTAAAGTGAACAGTTTAAATTACTGACTGTCCTCATCCTTATATTGAGTCATTCAATTAGAAGTCCAGAACAAATTAAACGTTATTTGTACTTTCAAACGAGTCGTTTTATATATTTATGTTAATATTATAATTATTTAATATATTTCAAATTGTAAAATTAATTCACACACACACATATGTATATATTTTTTCAAATATTCAAATATTTTGCGACATCCAGATTTGTATTTAATAATTTAGACAATAATTTATCTCGATAATTCCACTTTAATTCTATATATGAAATATTCTTTGTATCATCGCGGGTGATATTAATCGAGAATGAAGAAATGCGAACATTAATATTAATGATGCAATCGTTGCATTAAAAAGGCAATTTTTAAACTAAGAGGACCGTGCGCGTTCTAGATTGCTTTATTTTTTAAACTCGTTTAGTCGAAGGCTGTGTAATGACATCAATAAATAATCGCTGTCCAAAATAATGCCTTATTATAAATATTTCATGTTCTTTAAAAAAACAACTATCTCATTTATGTGATTTTTAATAGAATAGATTCATCAGTATATCATATTAATAAAAATATTTAAAAAATTTTTATAAAATATTTTATAAAATATTTATAATCTAAATGACAATTAAAACATTATTTAATAATTAATTAAAACTTCTTCTATTTTATTGTATAAAACACAAACGCATATGCGATTAAATTCTAACAATAAGAGGTACATAAAACAATTTATAAATGAATCATGCTGGTTAAACTATCATCTTCAACTATAATTACAAATATTAACATCTGATAAAGAAAACATTGCATACATTTAGGAAACAGATATATTATTTAACATTGTTACAGAAATAGACAATTTTGCTCATTAATCCATTACCGATATATTATCTATCCTATTTGGCATTTGGATTCGTTTATATAAGCGAAAAAAATATCTTCCGTATTAATTAGCTTTTATGCTTACCTTTTTCAAAATCTAGATCTAGATAAAGATCTAGACTATTATCTGGATTATTATCTGAACAATCATCTTGATCTCTGTTATAAGGCATATCAGGATTTTTATCTGAACTATCATCTTGATCTCTATTATACGGCATATCAGGGGTATTGTACACGCCACGACAGAGCTTCCTTAGAGTATCAGCAAGATCTTTGCCACAATATTTCTTGGGTATGTCTTCGGGCTCCTGGTTAAATTCGGGGTTTGTTTTTGCGTTTTTTGATTCCGACACAATAAATGCGATGGCGATCATCAGGCTCACAAGCACGTTCAATTGATTCGTGGACATCTGAAAATATCAGTTCTCATTTAATTACGCGAATGCATACACGAGGCTGGATTAAAAACCGAAAGGACGGAATATATTATATATTTATGTTTATCAGAGAATTATTTATTATATATTTTATATTTATATCAGAGGGAATAAGCTTTTTCGGAAATAGAAACATAAATAAAGAATAGAAGAATAGAGAATGTAAAACATAAGTGAGCATGTGTTAATTAAAAGTAGATTAAAATTGTGAACAGCGGTGTCATCACGCAGCCTTCGATCAAATGAATTGAAAAAATGTATAATAGTTATCTGAAATACGCGCGGACCAGACAAATTATCTCTTTATCTTTTCCTCGTGATTAGTAGGGCTGAAAACACGCGTACATTTACAATCCGTAGCACTATTGCGCCGATGGATCAAACTTCAATTATATTCACGATTTATTATAAAACTTTAAATATATATGCTGAAATTCAAACTAAATCAACATTCTGTCCTTAAAGTTGATGAGACAATTTCTAAATGTTATTTGTAATATCTACTTTAAGATTTCTTTTTTATACCTTAAGAGATTATAGAGATTTTGCACTCTGATTCGGAAATCTTCCTTAAATATTCAGAACGGTAATCCAACTATAATTTTTCTTTGTCTGAAAGAAACTGCGTGATCGTCGGTGAGTCGTTCTCTTCGATCTGAAGAAGGTCGTACATCTTTCAAAATATGAACCCGGATAAGGGAAATAATTGTGTTTATGTTTTGCGAACGCGGGAAACGAGATTCGTAGCATCTTACTGCGAAAATGATAAGCGCGATCGCACGCCGCATCGTCGATACGCCGTGAGAGCAAAACAAATAAGAATATATCGGCGAAAATTAGTTCGCACGTGGTACATGATATAACTCATTATTCTTAAATTTATTTCCGTAATCTATTAATGCAGTAATCCATTTACGTAAGATATTTCTAAGAGAGAAGATTAGCTAACAATAAGTTTAAAATTAGTTTTTTCGCAAGAGCGAATGAAATGTGAAATGAAAAGATCGGGAAATGAATTGTTTTTTGGAACACAAATTTAAGATATTATGTTAATGCATTTTTTCTCAAGCATTTGTTTCTCTTTAATATTATACTTTTATCAATTTAGACCGATTAAGAATTTATTGATTTCTTTGAATTCGCATAATTTTGCGTATAAAATAAGATATCAGGCTGTATCGCTGCTTCAAATTCTCTTAAATAAAATGACAATTAAACAATAATCATACGTTTCGATAACGATAATTATAATAAAGTGTGTGTCGTTCATTGGCTTCTCGTCTGGCACCTTTGATAATTGCAAACAGAGTATTGAACTACATAGATTCTCCCAGCAATCTCAAGAAGAGACGCATTTTACGATAGCGAAAAATCCATAGATTGAAAGGAGGTAAATTTAAAAGTTAATTATTCTCAAGAAATAGATTAATAATTTTATTAATATTTTTTGGAAGTATTTTGAATGTGATAGTTTTTTAAATACTGTTTACTAAGTCAAAAATAATTCCCTTTTCATAGTGTTGCGAATGAAAATTTAAAGTCCAAAAAAGTCGATTTAGTATACGTTAAAATCAATCAAGTCTTTTTTAATCATAATGAACACATCTAAAAAAATTGATAACATTATTTTTTCCTATTTCGATCGTAATCTGAAGTCTATGATGGAAGACGTTAAATATAGTCCAATAGAATAAAATGAAAAGGAAGGAAAGAAGCAAGTATCCTCAATGTATCTAAAATAAAAAGAAAATGAAAAAGGCAACTTAGAAATGGCTTGTTCTTCAAGATGTTGGAGAAATAAATCCACCATCATAGGAGAGAGAAGAAAGCTCAATGGTATATCAAAAGATTATCGATATTTTTTGCATTTAAAAAATTAGAATAGTAGCACTAAGTGTATACCACTGATAAATTCGGAGCAAAAAATGTTCAGCATTCATAATAAAGAGATGCCACCATTTTTTCAATATCTCTAATGACAAGTCCCAATGGGACGTTCATAAAGGATGAAATAAAAAGAAATGAGCTTATGTTCATTTATAAATTAACTTCATAATTTATTTATGGCCAATTATATAAAAATCGTATTATAAAAATAAAATATGCCATACATATGCAATACAATATGCTTAACATTCGTTTATTGTTCATTGGAACAGCAATGTGTTAGCAGACTTTCTTTCCGTAAAAAGGATTTCATTTTAAAGAGTTTAATATTGTTTTATTATGTAATAAATGTATGTAACAAATTGTGAAAAGAATGTCAAACGTGTCTCCCTGTGTTCTTTTTTCGTTATTAATTGTAGTCTTATGTCCATTCGCTATTAATAAAAAAGTTAAATCGTCAGACGAACAGTCTTATTATACAGATTTAATCGGTAAGTTAATTTTATGAGAATATATTTGAAATAAAAAACTGAATTTATTTTTATTTATTTTTATAACGACTCTATCCGCATCAGACACCTTTATTATGGTATATTATTAATGATATATTAATATAACATGTTATCATATAAACATTATTGTAAACTTGTCGAAAAAAATTATTTCTTTTTTATTTGTAAGCATATTAAGATTAAATTTTTTACTTTCTTCGAAATTATGTACGCGAGTGAAGTTTGATCATGTAGCATCAAATCAATCAATTAAGTTTAATTGCATATTATTATATTGTAATTTCGACAATCAAGTACATTTAATAGTCGTATAATACACAATTCTAATAGATCTAATAGAGATTCTAATAATTCGTAAAGATAATCTTTTCTTAGCCGCCTTATTGAATTTTGACACATTATTTTTACGCGATCGTTGTATTTCCGGCAAAAGTGACAATATACAATTTTTATTTTTAAGTTGCTTGACTTCTATTGCGTAAAACGGAGAGAAAGTAGGAGTAATTTCAGTCGAAATGATTAATATGAGCATTAACAATATCTTCAATCGTACCATTTTTTTAGCAAGCCGTTCCCTATCGCTTCATTCGTAAAAGAGGCAACGATTAAACTTCTCTAACAATTAAAAGATCTGCGATAATTTTGACTTGTTTTATGTAAATTTCTGGTGATTTATGGTAACTCGGTCAGGCACATTTGTTAACAAAAATAAACATATTTTCTTTCTTTATGTAATTCAAACTCGCTCTATCGATTAGGGCTAGATATATCATTAACATATATTAACGCTTCGGAATAAAGTAATGAAGTTTGCCAAGATGCGTACGTGTGTATTTTTTTCAAAAATCTGTTAATCTTATTTTAATACATTTTGTTAAATATAATTATGCATTATTGAATATAATTAAGCATAATAATACACACAACTCTCTCAAAAATTATCTTAAAATAATGTAGATTTAAAAAGAGAATTAAAACAAAATTTTACTTCAGAATTATACGAAAAATTTTAAATATAAGGAAACATATTATTATAGTAACAAGAATAAATAATGTTATATAGACAAGTATTTAAAATATTGCATATATATACGCAGTTGTCAAATTACGATATTAATCAAATTTCACATTAAATTCATATATTTTAGTAGATAAAGATCTTAGCATATCATAATCATATGATGATGACAAAAGCAAACAAATAAGAATAATAAATAATGTTAAAAAACGGTACATATGATATTAGAAAGAAAGAAATGTTTTTCAAATATTAATATTTACTTACACAAGATTTCCCTCCTCATTAAAATAAGGTGATATGAAAAAGGCTTCAAAGTCTTTATGTATGATACCAACATACCGCATTTTCAATGTGTAATTTCCAGGTGATAGTTCGTTGAAATTAAGAATTAAGATTTGCGTTAGATTGTTATAATTATACGTTGCCGCGCGGTGTATAAGCTAATATCATTATCAAACAACGATGTCTCCGTTTCATTTATTGTCAAGTCCAATACGTGTAAATGCAAGTTTTGCGTTACATTGCGAGTTATGATGTTAACATTAGTTTCTCCTTCAAAAAAATACCTTTCAGATATTGTAAAATTATCTTCCAAAATATGTAGTATTAGCTTAATATTGTAGTGAACCGGAACTACATTGTCTGGTAAACGATAATTAATCGCCGAATCATTGCGTAAATCTTTATCATAGAGAATCGCGATAAATATTAGGCCAATGTTGATTAAAAATTTTAAAATAGTCATGTTAAGTCTCCTTTCAAATATTTGTAAAAAATATTTTAAAAAGAAATAATATAATATAAACTGTAATTTTAGTTTTATGTTTTATTTTATATGAGTTTTTTAGAGATCTTCGTAAAGATCGTAAAGATCTTATTATAATGATGATGAAGGCAAAAGTTGGACATAAAATAATAGTAAATAATATTAAAATAATAGAATAATAAAATAGATTATAATAATAATAAATAAAGAAACAATACATATATTGTAATATTTTAGAAGAAACTTTCAACTTTTAATATCCACTTATATAACTGATTGCTATTTTACTTACGAGATGAAATTAAGACAGTGAACTTGTATTATTATATCTTATATTATTTGGTCTTCTCTATTCAAGATATCATCCATTAGTGACGAACTCGAAGAGATTAAAGCCGTTTACTGTTTGAAGGCACGGGGAAAGTCTGTTATTTTTGATCTCAACAAAGTTATATGACATCGTTAAATGTATTTATGTTGTTGTTTCCGCTTTGTTTTCAACTTTGTAGTTTAAAACGGAGTCAAATAAACAATCAAAAAGTAACTGAAATATTAATACATTGCTATTATATAAAGCAATGTAGTAATGCGCTCCCTCGAAAATTGATTTTTTCATATATATATTGAATAAATCCTTACATTCATCTGAACATAATGCATTTACAAACTACATGTGATATACATAGTGGGATTAGTGTCAGATATATATTTTTTGTAATTTCAAACAATAAAGTAAAATAAATTTTCTTGATCTTATAGTAAATACATAGTAAAAGTATAATAAATATATAAATCCAAATTTAAAATTTAATCTTAATATCTCTTTTTCCCCCCTGGAACGTAGGCAAAAAAAAACGAGTTCGCTTTTCGGCAAGCGAAAAAATAAATTGTAATTAATTTTATATTAAAAAATTAACAAGTAAAAATTGGCAAGTAAAAACCAATAAGGCATTCGTATTTAATATATATACTATGATGAGCAAATATAAAATTTGAAATATACTAAATATAATAAATAAATATACTAAAACTAAAAGAAAAATGGTAGTGTTTTTTTCCTCTTTCTTGCGCTTCAATTACTATATCTTATTAGCTCTTATTTGACTATTTTCAATTAAATTTTTATTATTTACATCCATTTTTTACTTTAATTTTTAATTTTATGTGAAACTGATGCATAATTATCCGTATCTGGCTCTTATTGGTCACAAAAATTCAAATTCGTGTCTTTACATATAAAGCCTTATTAATCTCCTGATTGCTAACATTAACTTTATTTGAAATAACATTTTGTAAACAGTTGCACCAATGCTACAGTAATTGCCAGTAACTTCCAAGTAAATTATAATCTATATAAATAGTCTCATATATTGTATAGTCACAAGACTATGCAAAATTCACAAGATTGATAGAAATAAATTAAGAACACATATCCCTCTCTTGAATTAATAATTTTATGATTTATTATAAGAGATCAATAAAAGTATATTTATAGAATTCTGTATATTAAGTTGGATATATATCAAATAGTACCAATCAATATTTTATCAATATCAATCAATATTAATTTTACTCATTTATGTAAACTAACTTTTATATCGCATATAAAATTCTAATAATTATTATTGTCGTGTTCGTTAGCAAAACGTTGCAAAACGATTTAGCACGTCTTATGTTGATTTACTTAAAAAAATGTCTATTTTTCGTTACAGTTAAATACATCTTATGAAAAATTATTTTATATATACATACATACATAAACACACACACGCGCGCGCACACACATATGTATATATATATATATATATATATATATATATATTATTATTCAATTTACTTATAATTTTATTATAAGTATTTGTTATAGTTCGAGACTATAACCACAATAATCAATTAATTAATTATTAATTCCTTTCGAACGAGTGGAATATTTGCGAATCGCGTATCATTTACCTCAGCGAACTATATGCGAACTCGCTGAACCGGCAGAAATGCAAGCAAAGGGGTTCGACTTTAAACTTGCATCTTTGCTTGCACTAATTGTAACTTCCACCTAAGATCACCATGACCGTATATGGTCATATTGCTAGACGATCCCCTCCGAGTTTTGACAAAATCAGGGGAATAAAAACCGTCCACTGCGAACGCGCGGCGGACAGTCATTCACTAAATCAACATAAGTGCAGACCATAGGGCAGTGTAAGGGTGAATAAAAATAATCCAAGTGCGCTAACAAGTCGAGAAAATGGTAAAGAAAATTACAGAAGAAGATTGTGTTAAAAACTGTATATTTGAGGCAAATAAAAACTATTGAAATTACAAAGAACCCAAAATTCTAAACTAATCCCTGCGACTACATCCAGCACCCGAGGCTCCCAAAACCTTACGACGGTACCTAACATGATTCTAGACCGTCTCGATCACAACATATTAATATATAGAGACGGATTTATATTCTATGTGTAACATAAAATATAATTATTATAATTGAATAAAAAGAATAAAATTATGAAGAATAAAGTTAGAGAGATATTAATGTAAGGAATGTAAAATAATATCTTATAATAATATCTTATTTTCAATTAAAAAACAGAAAACGGAAAATTTCTAACAAGTTTTAAAATTAATATCAGAAATCAATAAACATATACATAATTATATGTGTTGCAATTGTTATGATTAATTATAATTATTTTATAATTTTAATTTCTCTTTTATATTAGGTGGTAGAAATGAGGCAAGTGTTTCTAACCGTCTTTTGCGTTTTATTATTTTGTCTTGAACATTTTTGAATACTTTCTCTTCAAATTCATTTCTTACAAAATCGCTTATCTGAAAATAATTTACATTTATGCTTATTAGAAGTTTAATGTTGTATTATGTAATAAAAGCATGATACGACAACTTTAGCTAAATTTTATCATTCTATATAAATATAATGTACTAACAGATTAATGTAAAACATATATATAAATATATAATTATTACTTAGAAATCAATTTTCGCCTTTTTGTATCATTTCATCAAATTTTTGAAAATATATTTAATGCATTTATTTAATAAAATTAAAAATATTTTTCCATTTTAGTTACAAAATTTTAATGACAATAGTACTTTATCGAAAAATTATAAAATCTACAATTTTATATAAAAAATTTAAAATCTACAATTTTATATAAAAAATAGAGTAAATAAATTTAAATATAAATAAATAAAAATATAAAATTTAAAATAATAAAATTTACCTTGTCAAGTTTTTCTTTAGAATACACATTGTTAATTATAACAGTTAATTCATAATTTATACTGAAATTTCTGCAAAAAATAAAAAATAGATAAATGGGTAAAAATTTAAAAATAATGGATAAATACAAAAAACAATATGTGCTTTACAATTAATATGTGTTATTAAAATACCTTGGAATTATTTTTTTAAAATTTGTTAATATATAATGGATTACTGCATTATTTTTAGCGTGTTGTCTGATAATAGAAGAATAAATTCCATAATAATATCCATTTTGTAGTCTTGAACTGTTCGAATATCTGGATATGAATATATCCAAGACATTAATTATATTGTCAGGATTTTCAGAGCAAGTTAAGTACATCAAAATCTCTTCATTTAGTTTATTTATATATATATTGTATAACTTATTCCAAATAGAAACATTTGCTTCCATCAAGCCATTACAATATGTCCATTCTTTTAAATTTACCGGAACTCTATAACATATAATTAAAAAATTAACATGTATAATTACACACACACACACGTACGTATGTATGTATATATGTAAGTATGAGTGTGAATATGTATACACAATGCTAATAATTTATTAAATACTTTGTCACATATATATTCATATTAATTTATTAGAATTTAATGAATAAAGTAAATTACTTGTGTGTTTTAGGATTTGAGAGGTGTTCATTCAGATTAACAGTGGCCATTCTCTTGCATTCGGAATGACCCAAAGTACATGCCCATTCTAAAGCTTTGGTTCTCAGAAGTTTCGTAAAGTCATTATCGAAAGGATCTTCTTCATATCCTATGTTCTTAATAAGTCCATCCAAAATTTTAAGCATGTATGACTAAAAAAATCGTAGAATAATTTTATATTGGTTTGTAATTGATATATGAACATTTATCTTATGAACTAGATGCACGTGTACACATACACACACACACACACACACACACAAACATACACACACACGGACTCACGCACGCCCGTATGCATGCATGCACGTGCGTATATATATTTCTTTATTTTAAGTGATTATGTGACTATTTACTTTGAGATGTTCATTTTCTGGAACATTGTAAATATATTCTGTAAGACTTAATATTTCAAACATAGAATGCCATGGTGTATACTCTGTTTCCTGTGATAGATAGCCTATTAGATTTAAAAACATTATGATATCATGTTGATTTATCATCATAAAATGATAGGCGTCATCGATGATTTGAGCACGATTGAGTACATGGATTTTCGTATAGTCGTCAGATTTAAGAAAATCCACAATTTTTTGCCAAATGGAAGAATCGTAATTAACACGATAGTATCCTATTAAAATTAAATAATATTGTAAATTATGCTATAAATTTATTAAATAATTTATTTAAAAAATAAATTAATTTAATTTAATTTAATTTATTTATTAATAAATTATATTAATATATGTACATATATATCATACTTTTCTCTTATTTTGTTACATTTATATATGTGTGTTAAAAATTTATATTATATTATAAACATTATAAACGTAAATATTATAAAAAGTTTATACAAAATAAAAATAAAAATAAAATTTTATAGAAAATAAATAGAAATAAATAATATGTAAAAATGATGATAAATGATTAATTATAAATTTAATGATTACTGGTCTTCATGAATAGAAAAGTAAATCCGTATTTAAAAATTTACACTAAAGTAATATGGAGTATATTAAAGATACTCACCCGTTTGTTGTAAATTGACAATAATCCAATCATTTTGATCAATTCCATCAATCGTTATATTTCGATCTTGCGGTTTTAGCCAATGAGTGGGTAAGGTATTAGAAAAATCAGGATTTGTTTGCGTAGCAAAAGTCAAAGGTATCCACCATTTATTATCATTAATGTTCTTACTTTCATTTTTCAGAACAAAATGTTCTTGCGTTAGTATTATCTCATTGGTATCGTTTTTTCGAGTTACATGTACTACAGGGAAATCTGATTGTTTTATCCAAGTATCCATTACCTCTTTCAATCTATAAGCATTATGCGGGACATCTGATTTATCTAGCACTGCTTGCAAAGCGTTCCATAAATCGTCGGAAGTAGCCGAACTGAACTGACTAAATTATAAAAGATAAAAGATATATTTGTTAAAAAAATTATATTACAATAAGTCACATAAATATAAATAAATAATCCATAATTAAAATTGTTTCATATATTTTATATCGAAGCATTAAAATGTAATAATGATTTATTTCCTTTTATTTTGAGAATGATTAAAACAAAATTTTGCAAAATTCTCAAGGATTATCTGCAATGCTTAACTTCTTACAATTTTTTACATTTTATAAGTTATCGTTATTTAAAAGTTTTAATAATAAATTTTTTTATTTTCTGATAATTATTAAACTATTGTGTTGTTTATTGAAACATATAAAAAGTTTATTGAAAAATGTAAAAAATTATTCATATAGAAATGTAAGAAATAGTTACTAATTATTCATTTTGAAATGTAAAAATAGTTTAATTTGTATAGTGTTTTATTGATAGATTTATATATGAGCAACTTAACGATAAAACATCATTTTAACCTTTTACTTTTACGTTGAATTGCTATTACATTGAATTTCATTAAAATTGCCTAGATTAAAAGATAAATATATTACTTACTGTGTGTGTAAATATTTAATAAGACCATTTCGAAATACCTCATCGGTAAGTATATGTTGTAACATGCGCAGTATAGAGGGTGCTGTAATAATAATAAATAAATAAATAGATACAAAAATCGATATATGGTAAAATATATTAGAAAAATCCATGATAAAATTCATAAATTTGTGAACATAGCTAATAAAAGAGATTGATCATTGTGATAGAGAGTGCATTTTAACAGAAAAACATTTATTTAATTTTATTGTTTCTTTTACTTTAGATCATCTATGTTCGGAAATTTGAGCTTGATGATTTATTTATTCTATCTTACACTTGTAATAACTCATGGAATGGAAGTCTGATTTAATTTTATTGGGTCTATTGATTACTGATGTAATTGGACTCTTATTAATATCACCGCGAAGAATTATTTGCTGAATATTAACAACAAAGTATTCCATTATTCGCCACTCCTTGAAAATCTAAAATATACATAAATTTTAATATCAATTAAATAAAGTTTGATTGAAATTAGAAAAGTCAACATTATGAATTAATAACAGAATATCAGTTATGATGTTATATAATAATTAGTTTTTAAAGAAATCGTTTTCACCTTATTTTAAACTTTAAGTAATTGTAATCTAAAATTACACAGGCCACCGGAATTTTAAAGTTGATTAGCTACAAAAGGCAGAGTAGGTGAACCTGATAGATTTTTTGACACTGAAAATGAATCTGGTCGCAACATTTCTCCAGCATGTCAGATTTTTAAGTAATTTATAAATAATCCAAATATGGCAATTTCGGCAAATTTCATAAATTTATTATGGGAAAGTTTTTTGAAATATTTCTGTTAATGGTATCATCGTATATTATTAATCTTCACCTTTTAAATCAATTTTGAATTGTTTCTGCACGATTTTTTTTGTTGAGATATACAAGTCATAAGACTGATCATACATAGTGTCCAATAACCCTAACAGCATTCATGTCCGAAAGACGTCCAAAGAACATCAAGAGAATATTTAAGATATCTTCTGGATGTTCTTTAGACATCTTTTACACATGTGTGCTGTTAGGGAAGTCATTCTAAGCCGTGTTATTTCTGTCTTATCGTTAATCAAAATTTTATAAAAACATAAATTTTTGAACGCCGTCTGTCATTTTTTGAAATTAAAAATGGCACATCCATTATGACGGACGGAATCATAATAAAAAGATATAAAATTTAGAAAAATTTATCAACATGCAACAACTGTATTGAATATATTTTTACAGAACCTTTTTATGCAACTGAACCTGACATATGTAAGCCTTTTCAAATTTTAAGATGATGGATCTGCCATATTAATGTTAATGTACATATAAATTTTCTTTAACGTAAATTTTTTTTTTAATTCATACTTGTATATCTCAGCGAAAAAAAATCGTGTAGCAACAATCAAAAATGTATTCGAAGGTAAGATTAGCACTATATACGATGCCATTGGTAAAAATATTTCAAAAAAATTTAGTTCTTGTATAATAAATTCATGAAATTCGTCGAAATTGCCANTGGAAGGTCTCGGAGATATCGAGGATCTGGAAGGTCTCGGAGATCTCGAGGATCTGGTAGGTCTCGTCGGTCTCTGGATCAGGAAGGTCTCGGAGATCTCGAGGATCTGGAAGGTCTCGAGATAGATAAACCGTGAGGGTATCAAAAAGAACCAAAAGATAAAATTTCGCTGAATGCTAGAAGCTAATTCTGCGAGATTACAAGAAGGTGTAAAAATCGTTCACCGCATCTTCATAAATACACTTTCCAATTGTTTTCAATTGCAGAAAATAATCTTAATCTGTTCGGCCTTTCAGCGGCAATTAATTCATAATTGAGATTGCGCCAACTTCCACTACGCTGGTCAGCGCTTCCCGCGATCGCGCTCTGGTGGCGGGAGGCGTAGTGTGGACGCCACAGTTAACTTAATTATTTTATTCAATGCCTCCCATATTTTCAGTCACCCTGCATTCACGGGTTTTACTGGGGATGGGGAGATTCATGATCTATTATCAAATTAAATTAAATCTAAATGAGAATATAACAGGATAAAAAGATAAAATAAAATAAATAATATAACTAAATGATTAATTACATAAGAAGTACAATTGATCATGAAAGTAATGCCAACGATGAATAAAATTAAAATAATCAAGATTAATACAGATATTATTAATTCTTTCATTACACTTTTAATAATTGATGATACTCAAGTTAATACAGATATTATTAATTCTTTCATTACATATAATAATTGATGATACTCAAGTAATATGATCTCAAATACTTGATAAATCAACGATTATAAATCGACATAATAACTATAAAAAAAAAAAATAATTATGAACAATAGTTATAGAAACCGTACAGAATAATTATACTAAGTAAAATAATAATGACAAAACCTATGTTAATAATTACAATAGAAATTAAATTGATGACATTAATTAAATTAAGATAATAGAGAAATAAATAATAGAGAAAAGGATTAAAAAAATAAATTTTTAACTACCAAATTTTAATTATCCCTTACTACTGGAAAATAAATATAATCTTCCTTCCTTTCTAAATCTGTCGGAAGTAGCTTCGAATTCAAAGATCCAGCAGTGTGAATTTCTAATGACAGATTTCAAAATTCGATGGTAGAGAGTGGTTCTCAATAAAATCTTATCGAACTTTCCAATAATATAGTATATGTGTAAAAATAATAAATGTATAAGTAGTTACAATCAAGTCAGAGAATAATGCAGTGAACAATCAGCGAAATCAGAATTCGTCCTAACTGTAGGCCGGAGAAAAAACTTCTGGCCCTCCGTGACAATGGCCGGTAGACGCTGGTCCTCCTTAGTATGACTCGTTGGGGGATTAGATAATGCAAATTTCGTCATCTTCTTTGTCCGTTGGAATATCGATCGGCCAGCTTGATATGCGGAATGTTATGTTTAGTTGATTAACGAGAGCAAGTCGTCGTATGAAATACATGAATGAATTCCTTCTTTAATAATATTACAATTTTATTACAGATTTAATTCCTTTTTTCAACGTCGACTATGTACAATTTTGAATTTTGTTCTTATTACCTAGTCCCGATTTTACTTAAGTGGAATAATTAATTAACCAAAAAATTTACAAATGATGTCATAATGAGAAATTGATCACCAGTAATGGTCGTTATCTATGATTAAGGTTTACATTCCATGATAGATAAACGCTCGCCCAATCTTGAAAGCGTTTTCAAATCGCTCCTTTGTGGAATTATTCGTGGACGAATTTATAATTCTTTTATATCTTTATAAATTTAATATAACTCTAATAAATTTGGTTAAAATAGTTATTAAAAGTAATTAATTAAAATATAAGTAAGATTAATTAAACTATAATTAAGGATAAATGTAATTATAATATAATGCTAATGCTAATAAAAATAATATTTCCTTCAATCTTGCTCTTTTGTGATTAGATGGAATTGCACAAATTTCAATAAGGAAAAAGAAGGAATTTACTTGTATGATAAAAAGAAGAAAATTATTGGTCGGGACGTCACAGAGCCAATGCCCGCCGTCGGTAATCCAGATATTGTCCAGATCAGCGTTCAGTATGCAGTTCACTGTACCGGACTGAGGGATCTATCCCTCCCATTTATCGACCCTGTCTAACGGTTTGTTTCCGTTATCTACCAGAAATGCACAACCGCGCGACTCACGAGATTCACTGGCGTCACTCTTCCGGTTTTCCCGCCTTTTATTTTTACACTCCCCGCGCAAAAAATGACCCTTCTCTCTGCACTTGAAGCATTCGATGTCTGCGATCTTTCGGCTTTTTTTATTTCTTGTTTCCTTTCGCTTTCATTTCATCACTTTTCCCAGCACTGTTCTTTTTATACGCCCAGAAAGCCCCTGGGGCCCTATCAATCTCAGAGTTTAGTCGAGCTTCTTCACAAATGAGCCTCTTTTGCAAAATTTTCAAGCGTCTGCCGCTTCGGATCCACACTGTCCCCAGCCGTCTGTAGAGTCGCATATTTCGACGATAAACTTCGCGAACATTTTCGCCAATGACTGTTACATCTGACACTCGTCAAATGGTGCGGCCATGTTCTGCATTTTTGCGATATACTTCACGATTGACTCTTCCGGAGACATTTTATATTCGTGAAATTTTTGGGTGAACATCAATCTATTTGATGCGGATTTCTGCTCATGTACGCAGGATAATTTTTCCCACATTTCCTTCCGCTGTTGAAACAGACCAAATAATGGTTCCAATTGCTCGCTTTCTATCGACGAGATCAAGAACATAGCACGCGCATTGTCCTTAACCTACTGCTTTTTTGCAGCTTCGTTGTCCTCGCCTGTCGACATCGTACACTCGCCGTCTACGACGTCACATATCTCGTGAGCCATAAGTAACGTATTCACTTGGAACTTCTAATCTTGGAAATTCGATCCGTTAAACTTCGCGATATTACGCCGAGATATCGTCAGACATTTTTTTTTAACACGCGCGAGAGTGCAATAGACAATGAACGAACGCAAGCGTTTCGAGCACAAAAAATGATTATCATACCGCGATTCCATGAACACGTGTTTGCTCTTTCTCTCAACTCCCCAGTCTCACAACTATTGCTCAGACCAGGGTGACTGTGTCCATAACCTATTGAAGAAGAATTAAATTGAGAGAATGTGAGTGATTGGAGAATAAAGCAAGCTCTTTATATTCTATATAGTTTATTTTATATTCACAGACGCCACTTCATCTCACGTACTTGTCTCTCAATAGACTACAACAGCGCTAGACTAGATGCGTGGCTGAGACTCGAATAAAAAAAACTTGCGCTCGCTTTCTTATGGACAATGGACAACATGCCTTAAACTACATCAATCAATCAATAATAATATCAGTAATCACTTAGTTAATTGCTTGGAAAAACATTGAAAATGACCCATCAATGAATCGACAACGTAAGTACAGCGCGGAAGATTGCAGAGGTTGTGAATTGAAATTACTAATGCCGGAACCGTTGTTCTTACATGTGCACGACTTTTTTATTCTGTATCGTAACATACTCTCTCCATTGAAAGGATAACGATGAATTTACATGGTGGATGAGTTATATTAGATGATTACGATGAAGTCGCTTGCGTACTTTAGCAGTACAACTCACAATACATTTCATATTCGCATTTACATTAGTACGATTATTGATCAATCGGTAGATTAAGAACATAGAAGCTTAGTTGTTCTCTTTAATTCTTCAATTGCAGTTTTGACGATAGTATATTCCCAGTCAGAAATGATTTGTCGAAAAGACGTTGTTTCAAAAAATGAAGATCTAAAAATTTCGAAATTTCTATTGATTTCGATGAATTTTTTGACTCCAATTTTGATTGATTTTCGATGTCGAAATAGAAACTCGAATCAATCTTCCTAATCCAATATTGACAAATTTTTGTAATTTATTTAAAAGAAATAAGAATAAAATATAAAAGGTTCATCAATTTATATAATTTATGACAGTAGTAATAACACTACTGTGAAAATTTTGAATCAATAAAATAGATGTAAAGAAATGATTGAAAAAAAGTCAATTAATTTATATGTATATTATTAATTTTTTTTATATTGTTAAATTTAAACTTATATATATATATATATATATATATATAAATTTAAATTAAAAAATTAATTATATATATAAATGATTACTTTTTTATTCAATCATTTCTTTACGTATATTAATTCAAAATTTTTTCAGAGTGTTACTATTGTCATAGTAATTATATAAATGGATAACTCTCTTTATTTATATTTTGTTCTTATTTCTATATGTATGTATATATATATATATATACAGGGTGGGCCATTTTAAGTGATCCACTCCAATAACTTTTTTATATTTGAATGTACAACAAAATGTTTCAAATAAAAGTTGCTTGACTTCGAGGGGGACAGAAGATGAGTGGCAAAAATTTGACCTTGGATAGTCATTTGAAGGTCACATATAGGTTACTTTCAATTTCTTAAA